CATACCATATGGTGGTAATTAACAGTTTCAGACTTAGTTTTGAGTTTTCTTCTGCTTCAATTCTTGGTTGGTTTGGGACAAAATTTTAATGTCACGGAAGTAGAATTTTCTATCTGAGTTTAATTGCAGACAGGAATAATGTGCATCTCTAGATGAGGAAGGAGAAGATGAGATCTATTTAGAGCACTAGGAGATATTTTGGAAATCTCACGGAGTACAACCTGTTTCTTTTCATTAAGCCTTTAAATGTTCCTCTGTAGTACTGAAATGGGCCTCCCTTGGACCCTGGAAACAGAAGAGAGACAGTTTGAAAGATACAGCTGGAATGAGGAGTTTCTTTTAACAGCAAAATGTTTGCACTTTTTATGAGAGCAAGGGTAACATTGTGTAATCTTTAAAAAAGATATTGCTCAGTGAGGACAAGTCCATTGTCCAGTGACATGACTTTTCCTGTCAATCACAAAGGTGACAAGGGGGCTAGATTAAGTAAAGCTTGCCCAAGATTAACAAAGGAAGATTATTGACCTCATCCTGAAAGGGCAGAAGCCTGTTTTATCATTAAACCGTGGAAGAGGTATTTCCTCCATACGTGGAAAGCTATTTGGCAATATCGAGGCAACTTTCTTGTAAATGAACAAGTCTCCCTGTGGATTCTAGCTTGCATCAGAAGCAGAAGACATCAAACGTGGGTYRGTCCCTTTTTTKGTTGCTGTTGTTGTGGGGGGAAAGAAGGGCCTAGACTGTTTGCTTCAGCAGGATCTGTGTAGTGCCTTTCTGAAGTGGGAAAAGCGAGAAGCAGCAGCCTCAGGTGTTGGTGAGTACGATCCCAGCTCGGAGCTGGAGGAAATGTTGGGCCAGCAAACATTAGCAGAGCAATTCGCAATGCAAATGAACAATAGAGCCCCATCCACCAAGCAGCTGCTGACTGCATAAAACTGTTACCAGGATTAACAGTGCCAGAGGCTGGAATGTAATCAAACTTGAACAGGTGAAATGGTTACACAGCTGACAGACACTGTTCTCCAGGAAAAGAGTGTTTGTCCATTGTTTTGGTGGCTGAGAGATAGGGCTTGTGTGTGGCTTGACTGACTTAATTTTAAAACATCAGTAGTAGATACTGATGTTCTTTAATGCCACTTTACCATGCTGATGCTTTTGTCTCAGTTAAACTGGAAAAAAAAAAGTCACATCTATGTGTCCTTTTTAAAAGGGAATCTGCTAAATCTCACTTCTTTGGAGGGAACTTCCCTCTCAGGGGATTAATTTTAAACTGTTGCTGACATATCTTTCTTGCCGTTAAGGATTTCTCTGAGTGTGTTCAGGGGGATAGTCAAACTCTTGTATGCAATATCAGAGGATTTTCTTTACTAGAAGTTTTTTAGCTTTATGCTGCCATTGACACAAGCAGGTTTTATGTGGTGGGAGTCTCCTTTCTTTTTATGTGCTAGAAGTAAAAATCCACATCTATTGAGAGCTTTTTCACTTCTCCCAGTAGCAGCATAAGAAAGAACAAAATAAGAGAGGGACATAAAGTGAAAGCCGAGGTAACTGTTGCACGTTTTGCATTGTTGTTGTGAATGACAGAATAAAAGGATCCTGGGCTCGTGGAAAGGCAGATTTTGGAGCTGGTATGCTGGCAGATACATGTTGAACTGTCATCAGCATCAGAAGCTGGGCTGTGCTCTCATCCACCGGTACGGCAAGGAGAGGATTCCTCTTGGATTGCAAATCACGCAATGGATGTGTGATTGCTACAGATCTTTCTGAATGAATAATTCACTGGTGTACTGTAATTTAGCCCACTGAGATGTGATTGCAGCTGTTCCCCTACTGTATATGTGTTTTGATTGAGTGTCTTAAACCCCACGAGTGTATAAATAGCCATGTATGTGATATGCAAACACTGCATACGTGCGCACCTAACCAGGGTGTTCTAAGGTTTGGGGATGGTTGCTCAATTGTATATTTTATTATATAATTTACCTTTAAAAAAATCAGTGTAGAACACTTCCCTTTCCTTTTTTATCCAGCTATGCAGTCTTCCTAACCGTGGTAGTACAAATGCTTTTAGCCGACACTGTAGTGGGAGGGTGTCTCTGTTATTAATGAATTTATCATTCCAAGACCTTTATAATATAAGATATTGCTCATGCCTGTTTTACAGGTAGGAAACTGAAATGCAGGGGAAAAATAAGGTGATCTTTTCCATGGTTTGGCAGTGCCTTTGAAAGAACTAGGAAYTGAGTATCCGGAGTCCTTTCATGATGCCTTACTCAGAGACTACTGCCTTGTCCTCTTCACAATTCCTTTTCCACAAAAAGTCAGGCAGAGAAATTTTAGTAGTTTTAAMAATACTTGTGAGTTTCATTTGAAAGCCAAGCAATTTGTGATTTTGAAAACCATCTTATATTACTTTACATAATCAATCCTTGTCTTCTTATGCTTCTTCTAACAAACTGGTTAGAAGAATATATTTGTACCTAAAAAGTCCACCTTGCATGCACCCAAAATGTACATGAAAACAGTCGTGGTGATGCCTGAGGTTTAGGGAGCTTTGATGAGTACTTTGTGTCTGTGCTCAATATGTGGCACAGAAGCRGGATTAAAACAAGGAACTAGTTCCTGGTAAAATGAGTTCCTATAATGTAACTGATGGCATAGGTAGATTTAAGAACTGTAAATAAAGATGATATTTGGCTTATCTGTCTCAAAGTGTGAATAAGAAAGCAGCTTTCAAGACAYTTCCTCTTTCGACCTTGCGTGTAGGAAAAAAATTTACCATTTGGTGATAATGGGTTTGAATTTTAGATAAAATCTGAGCTGATGCTGAAGTTAACCATTTTGCTTGTCTAGACTGGTGCTAAAGAAACAGTTTATTCTAGTCTGTATATGTGAAAAAAATTGCATTTGGCTTCAACTAAGTTTTGAAGTCTGGTGTTAGCAACTAGGAATTTTCCAAGTGCAGAACAAAAATGGAGGGAGTTGCAAGAAAAAAAAAAATAAAAGGAGCGTTTCTGTTGACTGGTGTCGGAAAATTTTTTAGGGCTTGGTCAAAAGCTCATTGACGTCAGTAGAAAGTCTCTCATTAACATCACTGGGTTTGGCTTTTGGGGCATATGATGGCCCAGATTGTAATCTCAGTTAAATCCGATTCTGTTAGGGAATTTATTCACTAGTATAACACATTCAAGCTGTTCAAAACTGTTTGCATTAAAAGTTTTCTTAACCATAGGTAATCTTTTTGCCACRACAGAGTAGCCTGTGAAAACAAACATTTTCTTTATTGCTTGTCTTCCATGTAGCTCCACTCAAATTTTATTGAGGTAGTTTTTAGCAATTTATGCTCTATTTTTAAAAATACAWTTTTTTTCTGAAATACTKTGGTTTRTTACAGCAGAGACATCAAAATTGCTCAAAAAATATAAAATTATAACACAAATCACTTAAAATAGTATGTGTGCATATATATTGGTATATGTAACACGTTCATGCCCTTTAAAATGAAAACAATTTAAAAATTATTAATGACTTCAACCAACTCTTTAACTCAAAACACAAGATGATCCAGTGACTTTTTTTAACAAATACTATTCATTAAAAATCAGGAGTACAGAAATGTAAGGTTATAGGATAGTGAAAAAAAAACCCTGGAAAATCAGATCAAAATAAAAACTATACATGTTTACAGCATTATATTTTATGCAGTGTATTACTCCGCAACCAGCTTTGGAGACATTGACCTAAGTTTTTCAGGTACAGATGGCATATGTTAGCAGAGGAAAAAATGGGTTTGGGAGATGTGTACAGAAGGGTAGAGTATAAGAGACATGAAAGGAGTAGCAATGTGTGCAGAGAATGTTGCTTTATGTTGGAGGAGGCGTGGAGGAGAAGGCTCTCACGTTAATGAAGGCAAGTTTGAAGATGCTGGAACCAGTTTTGCTTTCCATTAAAATTAATGAGTAGACCTCTGTGGACTCTCACGTGAGGAGGGTTGTGTGCATGTTCCAGGAAGTCACAGAGTTTTGCCATTGTGCTGCCAAGGAAAGTCATTAGGACCACCTTTGTGAAAAACACTGTTTCTACAARCAATGAAGGTTTGAGACAGAAGAGAATTAGAAAACAAAAAGCAATTGCTTCACCCTTTATAGATGGTAGAACAGCTTGAACTGTGAGTTAAAATATGTCATATGGTGAAGGACATTTAATTTTTTGGTTACTATTTCATTTCTTACAACAGCTAGCCATCAAGGCATTAAGTGCTTTATAAAGTCAGGAAATTAATGGTCCTTGTAAAAATTGAAGGTTTTTTTTTTAGAAAGAGAGCTGTAAAAGAACAAACAATTAAAGGTAATCAATACCATTGTTATTAGAAAACCTATGAGAACAACACTTCTTCTCAATTAGGGAAAAACTGTATTTTATGTTTCTCTCTTGCAAGCTGATCTTTGTTCACTCCAGCCTGTAATCTTGGTTTATGCTTTATGGATAGGCTTTGTTCTGGGTGTTTTTGAAGCATTGCATGCCTTTTTAAAGGTTTCAACAGAAGAACAAACAGCAATGAACTCAAAGAACAAAGGATTGTTCTTTCTTTCCGTCTTTTTTTTTTCCCCCTTCTTTGAGAAAAGAAAGGAAAGTTTCATCTTGTTTTTCTCCCCTTTCAGGAAGTTGATGGCAATAAAGTGATGTCTTCATTTGCCCCGCACAACTCATCTACCTCACCCTTGAAGGCAGAAGAAGGTGGGCGTCAGAGTGGAGAGTCCTTGTCCAGCACAGCCCTGGGAACCCCGGAGAGGCGCAAGGGGAGCCTCGCGGATGTCGTGGACACCCTGAAGCAAAGGAAAATGGAAGAGCTCATCAAAAACGAGCCAGAAGGTAAGGCCTGGGAAACTGGCCAAAATTTTCTGTGTTCTTTTCTCCAGATCCTTTGGATATGTATACTTTGTAATCTTGCTGTTTTCTGCTCTGCTTGCTTTTTCTTGCTAGAAGAATTAAAGATCTTACMGTTCTTGTCTGCATTAGAGGCAAATTCTATCAGTGTCCCATCATAGCTAATGATTTTAGCTTTTCCCAAAAAAGAGAGTCTAGTGGTCTTTATGTTACAGTTGCAACCTCCTCAATATGCCTTCAGTGAGCTAGTTTTAATTGCCTGGGAACACTGCTCCCTTCTTCCCATTTCTAGAGCTAAAAGAGGTATTATCAACAATATCAATATTTCTGTGAAATGATCTAGTGTTCGTGTCATTATTTGAAAGGTAAGAAGTTAAATTGGGAATTCATTAAAGCTTTTGTGTGGGACACATCATGCTTTATCTGTAGTGCAGGTGCTGTACAGACAGAGTCCATTATGTATGGCCAGCAAGTTTCAGCTTTGGCTTCTAGGTGTCATTTCTGGAGAACCGGTGTCTTTTTGAAACCTTCTCTCTGGTTAGTGGTGATGACACTTGTGCTCCATGGGATGAGACTAAGACCAAAGAGTAAGATTTTAAATTTTTGCCTGTTTGGGGCAGAGTCAAAGTCATGATTGGAAGATGAAGTTCTCATTATGCTCTCCATAGATATCTGCATGCGTATTTACGGCCGCCTTTTCGGGACACTGGCAGCCAATTGTGTGAACATACTTAGCCAGTTCCCTGGTGCACAGTAACGAGGCTCTGTTTTCATTTACACTCTCCTATCCTTTTGTGGAAATCTACTTCAAACATTTAAATCAGAGCTCTCARGGCCCACCTCAGTGCTGACACATGAAGTGACAGCACCTATGAGAAAATCTTAGGACAACCTGCATACTTGGAATGAAAGTATGGATGCAGACACAAACACACTGGCACATGCACGAGCATGACAGGATTGTAAATTAGGCTTTTCTTCACTGGAGCACACAGTAAGGGTCTGAGAAACAAATTCTTTGTCTAAGAATTTTTTTAATATTACTTACAGCTTTTTTTTTTTTTTTTTTTTTTTTTTTTTTTTTTTTTTTTTTTTTTTTTTTTTTTTTTTTTTTTTTTTTTTGCATTTACGTTGATGCAATGGTCAGTGCCATAACATACCTTGTGCCTTTGGATAGAAAAGATTGGTGGGGGAATGGGTGGGAAGGAGACCAGGCTTTTATCTGACAGAGAGGAAAGAACAGGGAGTTCTGGGCAGTGTATAAATACTCTGTTGAGTATGAGGTTGTACAAGCTGCACAGACTCCATTAAGGAAAGGCCACAGATAGACATGAGAATGGTTACAGAGCTTGTGCATTATCTCAGCTCTACTAAAATGAAAATATACAGTACAAACAAAAGATCTACAGCTTTGTGAAGAGATTGGGAGAGAGAGGAGGGGGAGCAACTGAATGTTGGGCTTTGCAAATGCATGCAACAAAAAATCTTTTCTTCCCTCTAGCCATTGTTCTATTGTCTTTCAAAGGCCATTAAATTGAACAGCAGGTTGTGATGAAAATTTCATTAAGCCCTAGTTAAATCATTATGAGGGTGCCATATTCATGTCTCTGCTTACTCCCCATCCAGGAAAAAAATGAATAGGAAAGAGTTGAGCTTTTTTTCCCTTTCTCCTTAAAAGCGAACTAACAAAAGTTCAGAAGTTAGAAGAGAATGGGAAATGGGACATGAAACAAAAGGAGGCCAGAGAGGTGAGCTGGYTAGGAAGAAAATTAGACTTGCATAAGAGCATTGAAGGGTGGTGAGGGACAAATACATCATTTTGACAAGCCTCCCTCCCCCTTCCCTTCAGCCAACATGATTGTTTTTAGAGTGGCTAATTAAAAAATATATATTTCTGGGTGCAGATGGCAAGACTGTTCTTAGAGGTCCTCTACAAATATGAGTCTTTTTCCCTAAATGAGTTATATACTGATGCAACATAGCGTCTTCTCTGTTTGAACCCCAGCAGAAAATTATTGTCATGTCTTCTTCATATAGTGCTAAAGTAAAATTGTCAGTCATCACTGGTTGCTAGTCAGGTAATTAGCATATTAATGAATTTCCCCRTGAATAAGATGTTACAAGTGGGAATCTTTGATAGTACATGTAGGTAAAAATGCAGCAATTTGTGATAACTGTGTATTTCAGTAATGATTTTTAGTCTTGCTAGTTTGTAGAGCTTTGTGGGATGAAGATCAAGAATCTTGGTTAAGCTTTGCTACGTTATGTCAACAAGAATAATATAATACTTTATTTCCCTTTGGGAAGAAGGGAAACATTTGCACCAGTAGTTGAGGTTTAATTAAATCAATTTCCTGTGAATCTTTCGAAGACCAGATATGAGCCAGATTCCCATTTCTCTATGTACTCAAAAGTTTATATATTATTTAACTTGTACAATGGGCCRTGTTTGCTCTCTTTTTATTGTTTGAAATAGTCTCCTGAATTACTGTGGGAAACATGCTTTTGAAGTATTCTTTCAAATGGTCTGTTTCTTCAAAAACAGAAAAAAGGGAAGGGCTGGGTAGGYAACTTTAGGTCTCAATTCAAATCTCATATCAGTCAGGGAAAAGGCTTCACTTATCTGAAATGAGCTTTAAGGACAAGTGAGATATTCCAAAATATTGATAACAGGCTTGACTGTTTCTAAGAAACTTTACTGATACAGGATAAACAGTTCTCTTAAATTAAGTTAGTTAGAAAGTAAAAGTTAAAATTAGTAAATTTTGTCAGTAAAGGACCAGAATTTTTGCAATTTAAACATTCTGCTCAGAGTGCACCAATGCACACGTACATTTGCACGTATGTACTCACATGAGCTGACAAGGGAAGCATCACTCTTCATATAAACAGTTTTCATGTAGATTTGTTGTATTTACACCTTTGGTTAATGTGCCCTGTAGGAGCCCATGCTACCTACTTTCCCAAATGCTTGTCACTTCCTTTTCCTCCTTGGATATGAGTATGGGKTTTTTTTTGTTTTGTTTTTATAGGGGTTTATACTTAGCCATAAAGCTCCATGCTCTTTTTCTTTTCCCCTTAATCTTGCCATTTTCATCCTGCTGTATGAAAGTATGTGATTGACAATGAGTCATGCTGACACAGAGACATAAAATRTTTCAGTGAATCTAAAACTTGTGGAATTTTACTCATTACTAATACAGTGCTCATTTTTCTTCTCTCAAATTCTGTGGAAAATCCTTATATGCAGCTTTAGTATTAGGCCCCCAAAGGCATAAACCTATTACTGAAGTCACACAATGTTATTTTACATGAAACATTCTGTCCTTTCTAACTTGAGCTTCAGAAGAGGAGTCAGTCCCCTTTTATTCCTGGTATACAATAATGAAGATAATGGAGTGGGTTTGGAGAAGCCTTATACACTGTGACAGACCTCAAGCCCTTGCCCTGAGGGTCGTCTGCCGACCATGGGATTCCTTTTGCAGCTAAAATCATTAGGAGAATGAGATACAGGCATGTTTTTCTTCTGTTTTCTTCAGGCATCAGAGGATGGCAGAGACTCTCTGTCTGTCTGTTCTCCTCATTTGTAGAAATGAAATGGAAATCTCTTTGAAGTCACTGAGCTTGACACAAGTTTGTGAAAGAAAAGACCAAAGCAACCACTTAGCTTTTCCTTGCACTATTAATGGGATTGGATGGCTGTATTTTAATTTATGGCCTGTGCTTGTGGAAAATTAAATCTCTGAAATCTCTGTAGCCTTTCCCCTAAACGTATGGCTTGGCTTCTGGAAAAGAAACAGGCAAACAAATAAATTCCCTCCTATTTTTAGAATAAGCTGGAGTACTCTCTGGCTCTTTATGTCTCCTGACTTTTAATTAAGGATCAGTCTTCTTTTTTCATTTTGGCAGTATGTATTTGTAACAGGTTATGTATCTGTTTGTCTTTAAAACATTCGTAGTGGGTCTTTTGAGGCCAAGTCTGTGTTATTGTGTAGAATTTGTAGGAATTCCATGTAAAGCAGGATCATATGAACATCACCTTGATCACAGAGGCCGAGCATATGAGCATGTATGGGTACAGTCATTTATCTGCATGGCTCATTCTTCCTTGGTAAGGACCTCTGAAGCTCCATTCCCTTTGTCTGTTTAAACAAATATTTTGAATTTTCTATAAAGACATATACACAGATATACATACATACACATGTACATATATATATATATAATGTGTTATATATGTTTAGACATAAATATATATAAACACACACACAAATTGTTCATTCATTGTGTTTCATATTTTTCCTTCTTCCAAATTTTGATATAAGTCCTTAGGTCTTCAGAGGGGGAGCAATTGATCTCAGCTGATTAGATAGAAGGGAATATGTATGTTTGCAGAGCTTTAACAGGCAAYGTGAGTACTAGAGCTTCATGTATTATAGTAGGCAGCAATACTATAAGTAATTACTTGTCGGGAAAAAAGGGATGAGAAGAGCCTCTTGGGCATGATTTTTGTCTTCTGAACATCCCCCAAAGGCTATTTGTATTTGATGTTTAAGTTTACATTATAAATCACAACACCTGTTAATGTGGTAATTTAAATTACTGTTGTTTAAGCAGTTCTGTAGTCTATAAAAGTGAGGCATACTGAATTCTGGCTCTGTAGCTGAAATAAGATACCAGAGTATCTCCTAATATCAAACTTTTAATCAGCAAATCTTGTAAAAAAATCAAGATGTATCCCTCTTTTTAAGCCAAAAATTCCAAAGCAAGCTGTTCATGGGCACAAGAAGGGTGGCCTTTGAAATGCAGTCTCTTGTTTTTAAATCACATCTGATGTGATGGGAAGAAATGAAATGCACAGATTCGGGAAAGGCCTAAGGATACTGTAATTGGTTGGGGTTTGAAATTCTTTTATTTGGTTCTTCACTGTCCCTTTGACAGAGTACATGTTGAAGAGGCTTTGTAATGCTTTTCCACTGAAGGAC